CATAGTTCTTTCTTTGGATGTGAATAGCATTTCCATCATGAGGCTTTTGGAGATGTCTTAGATCCTTGTATTGCTAAGAAGGGTTAAGTCTGTCAATATTAGTCATCGCACAATGTGGCTGTTCCTGTGTACAACATTCTCCTGGTTCTGCTCACTTCACTCAGCATCAGACCATACAAGTCTTTCAAGGTTTTTCTGAAGTCAGCCTGCTCATCATTTCTTATAGCACCATAGTATTCCATTACATTCATATACCACAACTTATTCAGCCATTCCCCAATTGATGGGCATCCCCTCAATTTCCAATTCTTTGCCACCACAAAAAGAGCTGCTATAAATATTTTTGTACATGTGGGTCCTTTTCCCATTTGTATGATCTCTTTGGGATACAGAGCTAGTAGTGCTGGATCAAAGGGTATGCACAGTTTGATCGTCCTTTGGGCATAGTTCCAAATTGCTCTCCAGAATAGTTGGATCAGTTCACAAATCTACCAACGATACATTAGTGTCCCAATTTTCCCATATCTTCTCCAACATTTGATAATATATATGTTAATGCATAAAGTCCTTAAGCTACATGTTTCAGTTGCCTGTCTGAAACAGGAATTCCTCTGCTCAAAATTCTTTAGTTCTTCTTTCTTGGTTACTAAGGAAAGCTTAAACTCTTTTGCTTGCTATTCAGAGCCTTCCACAATCGGTGCAGCCTCTCTTTTCTTCAACTATTACCACCAAATGCTTTGTAGTCCAGCCAAACTGAATTTTCCTCTGAACATACCTTGTGCTTTTGTCTGCCCCTCTTCTTGTGTTCACACTAATCCGTACTCCTGAGATGCTCTCCCCTATTTATTAATCATTTCACCCTTTTTTAAGCCCAAATCAAATATCATCTCACTTAGCTGATATACTTGACATTATATACCATTTTTTGTGCCTCTTTAATAAACTCATCATGTGTCATTTTGTATAGTTATCTGTGTCATATCCTCCTAGGCATCTAGGTTGTGCGGTGGATAGGCCTTTGGGCCTGGAGTCAGAAGGACCTTAGTTCAAATCCAGTCTCAGACACTTACTGGCTGTGTGACTTTGGGCAAGTCACTTAACCATGTTTGGTTCAGTTCCTCATCTGTAAACTGAGCTGGAGAAGGAAATGGCAAGCCAGTATTTTTTATTAAGAAAACCCCAAATGGTGTCACAGAGAGTGGAAAAGGACTGAACAACTAAATCATACCCCGCTGCTACTAGATTGTAAGCTTCATGAGAACAAAGACCTTGTCTTATCCAAAGTTTTTAACCTCTCCAGATGATAGCATGTTAGCATCCACACAGTAGACCTTCTTAAATATTTGTTAAATTGAGTTATTCCACATTGCTCCATAGAGTAGAAATAGAAGTGATAGATAGACATTACAGAGAGGCTGATGTTGGTTAAATATAAGGATGGCAATTATAACAATTAGTGCATCCAGCAATGTAATGGTTTGCTTTTTCAAGTAATGCATTCTGTGCTACAGGAAATTTTCAAACAAAAGTTAAATGACTGTCTGTTCAGGATGTTGTAGAAAGGATTCCTTCACTGGGTAGGGAGGAGATTCAATGAGATGGTCTCTAAGTTTTTTTCTCACCTTAAAAGTCTATACTTATGCTATCCTCCCTCTTCTCTTCACCAGTAGGCATCCCTACCCTTTGTTCTCCTGGTGAAAAATTGGCAAAAAAGAATGAAAAAAAAATCCTAACAGACCCACTTCATTGCATACCAATTGGGAAACAATTTGATGGCCAGATTTAATTTAGAAAACTGGTTTTTGACCTAGTATTATTATCAAGGGGAAGAAAAACTTGAAATCCAAAAGAATTGAAAGAACTTTGAAGAGACAAATTAAAATAATAAAATAAAGCATGTGTCTTTCTACTCAAGTATATACAGATTTGTTCCCCAATGTTGACCTCAGCTTTGTGGTCACCTTGAGTAATCAAAGATTTCAATATAAAATTGGTTTGTTCTTAGACTATTGAAGAGAAATGATGAAACAACATAAACACTACGGAAATATAAATGCTGCCCCACTTTAGATGTCCTATATCTAGTTTTGCAGAATAGAAGCATATAATAATAAAATGTTTGGAAAGGACCTTAGAAATCATCTACTTCAGTCTCCTCAGTTTCATGTGAGAAACCGAGGCCCAGAGAGTTGTGATTTGTGCAGGCTGACCCAGCTTAGTCACAGATTCATTACACAAAAGCATTGTCTCTTGGACAGGATTCTTTCCATGTAGTTGAGAAAGACTTCCTAGAAGAGGTAGGTCTTTGGTTAATCTTGAGAGGTAGGTAGGATTTAGACAAAATAGTAGGTATTTTAGGCAAGTGAAATATGATAAAAGACATAGACGTGGGAAATGAGCATGTTCTGGGACAATGTAATCTGATAGAACAAACAGAATATAGTGAAGGGTAATAGGAAATAAGGTGTGATAGGTCAAGATAAGATTACAGAGGGCCTTGAAATCCAGACAAAGGAAATTAGACTTGATGTGGTAAGAAATCAGGAGTTGCTCAAGGTTGTTGTTATTTTTTGTTTTGTTTTGTTTTGTTTTTGATCAGCAGAATGCATAACCAAAATGGAATTTAATAATGCCTAGCACTTATATAGCGTTTTATGATTTGCAAAGTACTTTTCCTGTTATTTAAGGAAGAAGCAGCTAGGCAGCTTATAAATCTGACCTTAGATACTATATATCTGACACTGTAACTCTGGCAAGTCACTTAAACTCTCTCTGACTCAGTTTCCTCATCTGTAAAATAAAGATAATATAGCACCCAATTTCCCAGGGTTCCTGTGGAGACAAAAGGAGATCATGTTTGTAAAGCACTTTGTAAGCCTTAAGCACTTTATAAATCCAGTTTTCTATTATTATAAGGAAGATTAAACTAACAGTTATTTCCAGGATGGACTTGAAGGAGATTGGACAGATGTTAATTGCAGTTATGCAGGTCTGAATGCCTGGGGCACAGAGCTGCTAGAAGGAAGGGAGAGGAAAGGACAGAGCTGAGATATTTTGAAGAAAGAATCTGTAGGACTTGGTGAGAGAATGTACAAGGGGAAGAAGAAAACAAGAGGTCTATTAAAGATGACTCCAAGATTTCAGTCCTGTAAGACTCAGACATTCCACTGTGGTCCCACTTTTAATATGTGTGTTATCTAATCACAAAGGAAATATCTTTGTTCAACAAAGAGAGTGTGGATGGTGAAGCACGAATCCTTCACCACTACTAGAAAAGATAAGTAACCTTATCTCCCCATATGAAAGGCAGTGCTGTGACTAGAATTTTTAAGCTTATGATTCTGATTAAATCAAAAGATTTGCATGTGAGCTGGTTTTGTCCTCCTCTATTCGTGAATTTGAATAAACAAATTCAATTCTACGAATGTTTGTTGTGTCTACTATTGTATGCAAGGCACTGTGCTAGGCTCCACAATACATAGACAAATATGAGACAGCCTTCAAGGACCTCATAGTCTATTTGGAGGAAACAGTCTGCATGCATGTAAATATAAACAAAGCATAGATAAAATAATTACAAAATTGAGAGAGTGTCAATATCTGAGGGGGTCAGGAAAGGATTTTATTGGATGGCAGTAAGAAGGGAGTGCATTCCTGATAATGAGAATATTCCTTGTGCAAAGGCAGGGGAAGGAAGTGGGTTGTTGTGAGTGGGGAAGAGTTAGCAGGCCAGTTTCCCTAGAACTGGGAATGTACAATGAGCAGCTTCATGCTGCTTCCAAAGGCAGTCTACTCAGTGAACCCTCCTTGACAATCCCACCTAGGTGTAACAGGATCAACTTCTCAAAATTAACATGAAGAGTTAAAACTTAATAATGGAATAAGTTTAGGACAGTCTTGTTAGACTGTATCATTTTAAACTTACGTATCCTACATAACCCATAACCCATAAAAGGCTTTTTCCTTTCAGATTTAATAAGGTACTTTGGAAACCAAACTATTTACCACGGATAAGGCATAAAGAGAATCCCTTCGGTCAAATGTGCCGCTTCCTGATTGCCATAATGCCTCAGAACAAGGGCATTTCTTGAAGCTACTGAAGGTCTCTGGATGTTCAGGCCTCTGATGGTTTTAGTGTCTTTAGGCCATACCCCTCTAATGAGGGGCTAGTTGGGTTGGCAGGCTGGACCAGCAAACTTACAATAGGTGGACTGCTAGAGGAGGGGAATAGGGTTACTGAGAGAGGTACATGAAGGAATGTGTTCTTATTGATGTGGGCACCTGGCCCAATTTCTGAGGAAGGAGCATGAGGGCACACGACTGTCCTTCTCTAGCCAGGAGGAAAGAAAACCCTGATACAGATTCAAGCTTGAGATGATCTGGACCAGGAGGCAAGAAAACCTGGGTAATTAACATCACTTTCTGAGTCCGACAAAACCAACAAACCAGCTATCTACACCCATCTCTCTTTACACCCTCAATATCCCTCGTGTTTCTTCCAAGGAAACCTGACAGAGCTGAGGGGCAGTCCCCCTGAATCTCCAGCAGCAGGGAGCGGTGGAAGGGAAGTTTGGGGCACAGCAGGACAATGAAGTTTCTCATTTTCTTTTTCCATCACTTCTTCCTCCTCCCCATTTAGAAATCATAATCTATAGGGCCGAGTTTCTTAGTTTCCCTCTTCGTAGAAGGAAAGAAGAGGAGGGGGAAGGAGGGGAGGCGAGGGGACGGGAACAAGGGGTGGTGAAAAGCGGGATCGGGTTGGGGGTGTAGTGAAAGCCAGGGCTGGGGGACGATGCTGTGAAACAAACTACCCGGATTCCCTGCAATGAGCCGGTGGCTTCCCCTCTGGAGCTAGCTTTGGACTGTGCACTCAAGCTACGGGGCTCTCTTGCACCCTCTCCACTCGCGCACTCCCTGGGGCTGCTGGAGGAGGGGACCCTGGAAGGAGGCGGAGTCGGGGGAGGGGTAAGTGTGGGGAGCAATAGAAGGAAGAGGTCCTAGGCAGGGAAGTGCATGCGAGAAGCGCGGCGCAGCCAGCGGTATGGCGAGTACGGCCTCGGAGATCGTTGCCTTCATGGTAGCTATCTCGGGTTGGGTGCTGGTCTCCTCCACGCTGCCCACCGACTACTGGAAAGTGTCCACCATCGATGGCACGGTCATCACCACCGCCACCTATTGGGCCAACCTGTGGAAGACTTGTGTTACCGACTCCACGGGTGTCTCTAACTGCAAGGACTTCCCCTCCATGCTGGCTCTGGACGGTCTGCATCTGTACTCCTTTCCCCTGTAACTTCTCCCCAGCCCTGTCTCCCCCATATCCCTTTCTTATGCTCTTCCTCTCTCTCCTTCATTACACTCGGTGAGCGCCGTCCAACTTCTTAGCTGGGCGTGCATGAAAGTTGGTGCGCATAGCTAAAAGTAGCCCAAGAGCTCGGGGGGCAACACCAAAGCTGTTGGAGAAGACCCAATTGCTGCCCGGTCCCGTACCTCGTACTTTAGCGCGCGGCTAGCAGGATAGGTTTCGGGAAGCAAGAATGTGGGGACTGCGTCGGGGTAGGGAAGGAGTTGAGCGACGCACGGAAGAGAGCTTTGAGTTTGATTTTGTTTTTTCACTCTTCTTGGAATCTAAGGAATTGGATTGTTCTAAAGCGAGGGTTCTTAACCTGGGGCCCGTGGTTAGATTTTTGGGAATCCGTGAACTTGGGTGGGGAAAAAGACTCACATCTTTATTTTCATTAACCTCTAACCGAAATGTAGCGTTTCCTTCAACTGTTTAAAAAACATTATTCTAAGAAGGGATCCATAGGCTGTTCCCGACTGCGTGGTCCATGATTTAAAAAAAAAGAAAGAAAGTTAAGAACCTCTGTTCTCGAGAGAGATTGAGAAGGTGGGTGAGTGAGTTGAGAGTGTCTCTGGTTTGGCCGCCAGGTGTGCAGCCACCGGGTGTGAGCCAGCCAGGATGGAGGAAAGCAGCAGGTGCACAACTCGGGCCGCCCCTTCTAGCTCAGCCAGCGCTCGGGATTGCTACACCCACTGAGAGGCCGCCAGAGGCTGAGGTGCCCGGCCTTCTGTCCTGCGCTTGTGGTCGGCGGGGACGGTCGCGTACACAGGAGAAAAGAGGGTGTTTGGGAGAAGGGATCTGGCAACCTGAGGAGTGCTTCTTGTTGCTGCACTCTCATTACTAAGAATACCTTTATTATAGAGGGGCACTACCAAACACAGCTTGTTGTTCAGTTATAACTACGTTCACCGGCGCCGGTATTTAAAACTGTTCGGTTTCTTTTCTTTTCTTTTCTTTTTTGTGGAGGGACCTTGGCATAATGGGTGAAAGTTAGAATTTAGCTTTCGAAAAACTATGTTCAAATCCCACCTCAGACAATTAGTGTGTGACCCTGGACGGTCATTTAACTTCTAAGTACCTCAAGCAGCTAACTCCGTAGGATTTATTGCCAAGGACATAAACACGTTATGACGGGCGTTGAAGGAAGAAAGTTCTCACTACTGTCGAAATCACACCTTTATTTCTGAAATGAGAAAATTGATTAATAGCAAAAATCATTTGCTCTTGTACTTCGGTCAAATCTTTAAAAAATCACGCTTTAGAAAGATCAAAAAGGTGTGTTTCTTTAAAATGATAAAGGCTGGATTTAAGTGTTTTCCTAAGTTTTAAGACAATAGAACAACAACTGATTATTCCCACCCGAGTCTTCGAGTGACTAGTTATTATTCTACTGCTCCTGAAACCTCAGTTACAGCTTGGAGAAGTTTGGCATAGAAAGAATACTTCCCTCTTTCCCCTACCCCTTCCTCTACCCCCTTACCTTCCCTACCTCCTACTTTTGTTAGTATGTTAGCTTTTTCCTGGTGGAATGATCCTTCCTCTGTATGGGTTTTTTTTTTCTTTTATTTGAAATAGACGTTCGTTGGTTTTCCTTACAAACACAGTTATAAATAAGACTAGATTTTTTCTCCCTTGCTTATGGCAACTCAGAAAGTCTGAAACAGTTAGATAGTCGCAGATAATACCAGCTTTGTTTAACCTTGAGGAGAACAAAAGACTTTTGAAGTAGAAATTGGGATTCTTATATAGAGAGGAAAACGTAAGGGGTTGGACTGCTAGCTGCTGTAACTTAGGAGGAACAATTACACTATTTTTAGTTTTAAAGGTGTTTTCTTTTTTTCTCATTGCATTATTTCAAGTTTTTATTTGCATAGCTGGGTAAATAGTAGAGACAAGATTTTGATGCCTCTAAGGTTGCATTTGTTTTTGTGTATGTAATTGTGCGCCTTGAAAAGCAAACTCTTGCTCAATGTAATATTTGATAGGGACACACTGAAAAGGAAATATAGGCACTATTTTGAAAGGGACAAAGACTTGAGTAGTACCTTCACATATGAGTGATCTGGGCCATATTCACTCCCTAGAACTACTGTTGAATTGTCTGTTATCCAAAACATAAATCCAGGCAGATGATGTGAACAGATAGGTTCTTGTTTCTGTGGTTAACCATTCAGGAATATGGGATTTACAGTAACTGTCTTCAGAGCATTCTTCTGTTGTAATTGTATTGTGAGGTGAGTTGGCATGCTAGTTTCATGAGCTTCCTTTTAAAGAGGTGGGGAAAGGAGAGCGAAATAACAGCCTCAGGAGAGTTATTGATAGGATGCTGAAATGCTCACCTTCTCAGTGGGGGATAGTGATGGAATGGGTGGGTGGGTGGGTGAGGAACAAAGTTTAAATGCTAGTGTTGAATGGTGGAATGAGAGAAGGGTCAATGACATCTATACTTAAACCACTTTCCTTTTCTACTGTGAAGTCACCGAAGAATGAAAAATTGAAGGGGAGAGGGAGGAAATAAAAGCTTGAAGCTAACAATCTTCAATCCAAGGAACATTTATAAAGTGACTCCTATGTGTAAGGCTAGAAACATCGTGGTGTAGTGAATAAATCCTCTCTCTCTCTCTCTCTCTCTCTCTCTCTCTGTGTGTGTGTGTGTGTGTGTGTGTGTGTGTAGGGAATGGCACCCTGGATTCAATTCCCATCTTGGAGGAAGTGTTCCTGACCAAGTCACTTACCTTCTTAGCGTGCTGGGCAACTCTAAATTGCAGAACCTTTGCAGATCTATTTTAGTGGGAGTTTACTGGGAGCTTGCTCTCCACACTGATTAAACACGCGCGCACACACGCACACACACACACATACACACACGTGTACTAGATACTCACAGGTACAGGGATGCAAAACAAGCAAAAAAAAAAAATACCCAAAACAAAACCAGTCCTTGTTGTTAAAGAGCTTACATTCTATTGGAGGTGGTTTGCATGATAACTTAAAAACACAGAGAAAAATAAGATAATTGAGAAAGGAGAGAATGCTGCCAACTCGAAGCATCAAGGAAGGCTTCATTGAGGAGGTGGAACCTGAGATGTACCAGAGGCTTGAAGGAAAATACTGATTTTTAAAGATGGAGTTGAAGAAGGAGTGCATTCCAGGTTTGTGTGAACCTATGGAAGCAAGAGATCTCAAGTTTGGGGTCCATCTATCTAGTGAACTGGCTTGACCAGAACATAAAGAATGATAGGAGATTTGGTTGGAGCCAAATTGTGTAGGAACTTAAATGCCAAGCTGAGAGATTTGTATTTTATCCTAGGGTCAGTAGGCAGCCACTGATGATTTTTGAACATGGTCTTTTCTGTGCTTCAGGCAGATCATTTTGTTAGTGCTGTGGAGAATGGATTGGAGAGAGGAGGTATTTATTGTAAATACAGAGACCACTTGGAAGACTGTTATAGTCATCTAGGTAAGAGATGATAACAGCCTGAGTTGTAGTGTTGGCCACATGAGTAGAGAAAAGGACAGATGTAAGATATCTTACAAAGGATAAATGTAAGATATCTTACAGATTTAGAATCACTAGGATTTGTCAATTGATTAGCTTTGGAAAGTGAAGGAGGGGGTGAATTGAAGATTGTTGTGGTTGTTCAGTCCTGTCTAACTCTTCGTGACCCCATTTGGGGTTTTCTTAGTAAAGATACTGGAGTGGTTTGCCATTTCCTTCTCTAGCTCGTTTTAGAGATGAAGAAATTGAGGCAATCAAAGTGACTTGCTCAGGGTCACCCAGTGAGGCCAGGTTTGAACTCAGAAAAATGCATCTTGTTGCCTCCAGGCCCAGCACTCTATTTATTTCACCACCTCGCCGTTCCAACTGAAGATTACTCTCTGTGTATAAACAGATTTTTTTTCCCACTTATGAATGAAATATCTCTGGCCAGAGTCAATCAACTTCCTAACTTCTTATCATTTAGGTCCAGAAGATAGTGTGTTGTAGTTAGAACTGAAGGCTATGTTGTCTATATAGCAGCATCTGATAAATTGCCTGATACACCAACTTTGTAACCATGCATTTGAGGTGGTGTAAATATGTTTCTTTTAAAAAGCTGCATCAGTAAAACAGAACCAGTTGGTTTGAGAAAAGTAAGACTCATTCTGGAAACGGAAATAAAGCCAGATTGCTGAAAAATTCCAAGAGGAAAAGGTCCCTTATTTATGTTTTCCCAGTCTTGAAGGGGATAATTAAGGTAATTGATAAGGATGATGATGCTAATTTACTTCAGTTAGTAATATAGTATGTGGAGATGTACCTTTGAGTTTTGACTAACAAGATTGTGTAACTCTCACCTCAGTTTTACAGATAAAGCAGCTTAAGGCTTAGAAAAAACTTTTCGTCACCTCAAATCTAGTGATAAGGATCCAAATTGTCTAAATCAGTTCCATTTTTTTCATGTAATGATTCTAGCAGTTTAACTCTGTTCCTTTTTAAGGATTTTCCAGTAAAAATGCTAACCATTTGCCAGTATAAGAAAAATCATATGAAAAGACACTAGACCTGTGATTTCTTTGGTTTGGGGAATTCCCAGGTGAGAAACTCACTCTCTCATGGCAGTTAAACACCCTCTCTGCAATTTTTAGTCTTAAAACATTGCCTAGAGCATTTAGAGTTTAAATGATTTGTCCAGGGTCACACAGCCAGTATGTGCCAGAAACAGGACATATTCCCAGGATTTCTGTTCTGAGACCAGTTATGTATTACACTAAGCTGCTTCTCATTAAATATAAGTGTGTGTGTGTGTGTGTGTGTGTGTGTGTGTGTGTGTATGTACTTTGTTTCTGGAAAGGCACTATTATACTGTTAAATAGTGTATAGACAGCTTGCCTTGGAGCTGGAAAGACCTGGATTCAGATCTCACTTTGGACATATTGGCTATGTAAGTATAAGTTAAGTCAGTGTTCTAGGTAAATATCTAAAATTATAAGTTGTAGACAAGGTTTTGACCTTCATTGATAGAGAGATTTTTCTCATCTGGGACTTCCCTCGGGCAGTAAAATCACAGGTCCAGTCTAATCTCTCTGTGAGTCTGAAATCCAGTATGTGTGACACTAATGGTTTCTCTTCAAGAAGATATTTTAATTTTTAGAGATTGACAGTGAAAATAAAATGTGTATTTTAATTGATAAGTTGAATTGTGTTTACTAGACCACAAACTTCAAGTTTTGGGAAAATTAGGTTGAAGTTTTCTTTTTTTTTGTCCTGCGATATCTACTGATACAAGTCAAAGTCCTTTTACTAATTGAAACTATTTCCCAGTTAAAGTAAGCTAATGATTTCTGGCTATCTTGCAAAACTCTATTACTCTCAAAGTGACATTTGACCTTTAGATGGGAATCAATCTCAGCCATGTTGCTATTATTATATGCCATCTATTTTTGTTACTGTGAATGTTTGCCATTTCTCCTAGGAGATTTAACTATAAATTTTGCTTTAGAGAACTTCTGAGTAAATATGTTCATGCTTCAGCACCTCAGTGTGTTAATTAGCTATTAACAGTGCCAGTAAATTAGACCTGTCAGAAATAATGGCCTCCTTGACCAGTTTTTACTACTATTTTGTTTGACAGTATTATCTAAAATAAGTTTTAACCTCAGGAAGAATTAAATGCAAGCCTGTAGGTACCCACATTGCAAAAGGGAAATCATTACATGGATCTTTATAATTGGGCTTAAATCATGGAAAGATTAGCTCTGTCAATAGAAAGGAAAGTACCTACTGGGTGTCAGGCACTATGCTAAGTACTTAAAAAATATTAACTAATTTGGTCCTCACAACAACTCTGGGAGGTAGGTGTCATTATCCTCATTTTCCATTTGAGGAAACTGAGGCAGACAGAGGTTAAGTACATTGCCCAGGGTCACACAGTAAGGTGTCTAAGGCAGGATTTGAACTCAGGACTTCCTGACTCCAGATTCAGCACTCCATTCATTGTGCCACCTAGCTGCCTCTTAATCTGTAAATATGGGCAGTGCTTAATTTATGAATACCTGACATACATAAACATTCCTTACATAGAACAGGAGTTGTACAAGAAGTCCCCACCATCTATGAAAGCAGCTGTCCTTTCTTTCCCAATTCAGACCCTAAGATATTTCCTTTTCTGCAGATATAATGTTAACACATTACTCCCGAGCAGAAGTTCTTAAACTTCTTTTATGTCATGGGCTGCTTCTGAGAAGCATGTTTTTAAATAATTGAAGAAAATGCTAAATTTCAGTTAGAGGTTAGTGAAAGTAAATGTATATACTATTTTTTTCCAGTTCAAGTTCATAGACCCCTTGAACGCTATTCATGGACCCCTCTGTGGACTGCTGGTTCAGAACCCCTGCTCCAGAGTTACCTGTCTCCCTGCCCTCCAACTGATACTGTAAGAAGATATGATGCTGTCAGCCTTTCAATTCCCTGCCTTCACCTTGCCACAACCAAAAGTGTAGCTTGCAAGGAAAGATGTGTCTCTGATGCCCTGAAGTGAAATTCGGTCCACACTGTCCTATAGAAATGTTGTTGTAAACATGGTTAGGTATAGATAATAGCATTCTCAGTCCTATTAGCTCTGTTACGGACTTTGAGGGCCCAACCTGAGAATTCAATCACTATTTATAACACTGCTTCTATAGGAAATGCATTATGATTTCCAAGCTACAGAATTTACAGTTGAACTTCTGTAGACTGGGACTCCCTGTACTCTACCAATTCATAATGAAATATAAGTGAAGAAGAATCATTTCCTTAGGATAGTTTTATTTTTTAGCATTTTTGTCATACTAAGGTCTGATATTTGTTCAGTGACTGCAATTGAAGGCAGGGCAAAGATATTTAAAGAAGTTTAAAACCATAGACTAAAATAGTTCTCCTTAATGATAAAAATGGTAGAGTATGGGCTGAACCTTTGCTGCCACACAGTGATCTAGTCCTGTTACTAACCTGTTCCATACTTTTGAACCTAACCTAAAGTGGCTCAATAGATAGAGTGCTTAGGGAACTGTGTGTGGAGTCAGGAAGACCTGAGTTCAAATCCAACATCAGACACTTACTAGCTATGTGGTCCTGGGCAAGTCCTTCAAGCTCTGTTTGCCTCTATTTTCTCATCTGCAAAATGGGGATAATAATAACACCTCTCAGAGTTGTTGTAAGTATTGAGATAATAATTTTAAAGTGGATAGCACAGTGCCTGGCATGTAATAAGGGCTTAATAAATGTTTATTTCCTTCCTTTCTGAGAATACTGATTCCAGCTCTCCAACACCCTGCCTGCTGCTTGGGGTTTGAATCAGGCATCCTGCTGAAAAAAGGGAGGAGTAAAGGAATACTTGGACAGGAAAACCTTTTAGGATTCATTGTTTAGCATCAGTGTCATAAGCTGAACTACATCATAATGGCTAGCATCCAAATTAACCTATGTTAACTATATTTTCTGAATATCAGTGTCTTTAGGCTGTTTTTGCTAAAGTTATTATTTTTTCATTTGTTTGTTTTGTTTTTTATGGCAATAGATCTTTAATCATAGGAAACCAAGGCAGCTTCTTAAACTTTAAAATAAAATTCATGTAAACAAAAAATAGACACCTGATACCTTTGAAAACACATTTTATAACACATTAAGTAATGCCTGCTTCTCTCTATTTGAGGTGTCAATTTTCATTTGGGACACCTTAGAAAACAAAAAGCAGTTTGCATTAAGAACTTGGATTTTACTTATATCATCAGCATGGAGGAGAAATTAGGTTCATTGTTCATAAAGTCACCTTCCCTAGAGAGAGAAGCTCACTAAGACTTAAACAACAATTTGCGTTTTGGTGGCCCAGAATTTTTTTTGTAATTGGAGTTTCTTATAATAGCTTGTGTCCCCAAACTGATATGAAGCTTTTAGTAAAATCTCCAACTCCATGACTATTCCCGTTATATCTCTCTCAGTACTTAAATGTAGGTGAAATTGGTCTTAATACTTAAACATTCTAAGGCTGATACTTAATGAGCCTTTCTTCAGTCCATAATTTTCCCAACAGAAAAATTCCTGATTCCTGAATTCCATACTAGCCTCTATCAGAAAGGAGAGAAAATTCAAGATTTGGTGGTTCTTGGAATAATTAAATTGAAAATAAATATAATATATTACTCCACTGATAGACTTTATTCCTGAGTGCTCATTCATTAATTTATTTAACAAATATTTGAGTGTCTACTACATGTAAGACACTGCTCGTTGTTCTAGAGTCAATACATTGAACAATAAAACTTTGTTAATTAACATACTACTAATTAGAATTTTATGATAATTTGGACATTGCATGGGTATTGTTTTTGTCCTAGCTATGAAAAACGGGTTTGCAAAACAAATTAATATTGTAAGCAAGATTTTAGCTGAAGTAAGTGAACTACTTATTGAGAGAACCTTTCAAGCTACTCTTAAGCATTTTGAAATACCCATTCATATGTCAACTGCCTTGGACAAGTCACCTAATCTTTGTAGATGTCAGTTTCTTCATTTATCAAAGGACAGGGCTAGACTACATAACTTCTGTGATAATGTGAGCTATTGATAAACTAATTACAGGCTATTCTTATCTATTATTTAAAACAGATTCCCTAAGGACCCCTATTAAACAAAAACCTTAGACTAATTCAAGTTACTGGGCCTGTGTGGAAATAACCAAATAATATTTTTGTCTTGTCAGTCAAATGGCCTTTCAACTAGTCTTAATTAAAGAAGTTTTACTATAATAAGTTCTCTAAGGGGCGTAAACCTCTTAGTTTAAACTTTCATGTGCCAGAGATATCACTTAAGTGAATAAGTTTGAGGAAGAGTTTCAGGGTGTGGTATTGAAAAGAGTATTTCTAGTTTCTGCTTTCTCACCATAAAACCAAAATGATGGAATTTTAACTATTGCAGTTGTTTTTCCAGAAGACAGAATAGAATGACTCAAAATGGGGCATTGTAAAGGGAGGATTTACCTCTCCAAAATAACATATATTGTTGTAATGTAAAAAATGTCATATTGTAATTCCAGGTTATATCCAAGCATGCAGAGGACTGATGATTGCTGCTGTCAGTCTGGGATTTTTTGCTTCTATATTTGCACTGTTTGGAATGAAGTGTACAAAAGTTGGAGGCTCAGATAAAGCCAAAGCTAAAATTGCTTGTTTGGCAGGAATTGTATTCATTCTTTCAGGTAAGTAGTAAATTTCCACCCAATCCATGCATATAGTAAAATTATCCAGCTCATTCTAATGTCAGTATCTTCCTTCTGATATGTTTTAGGACTGTGCTCTATGACAGGCTGCTCCCTATATGCAAACAAAATCACAACCGAGTTCTTTGACCCTCTTTACGTTGAACAAAAGTAAGTACTCTTTTCAGTCCACATATCCTAGAACACATGGAATGCATAAGTGAATGTTCTGAAGGAACATAAACATTTTAATGACATAATGAAAATTAGAGGGGTTTGATGACATGACTCAAGAAAAAGAGCATATTTTGGAGAGTTTAGCAGTTCCTCTGCAAATTTATAGCCCTCAAATCAACAAAGCGGCAAGGCTACATTTAATTCATTTATGAACTTTACATAGTGTCTTTTCTCCAAATAGTACTGGATGTAATCAATCACTCCACTAAACATTGAAAAGTTGAAAATAGTATGAATTGCAGGTAAGAAGAGAGGGGAATTGGAGGGCAACTAAAAGATAGGAAAGAGAAGATGGAGAGAAATAACAATGGAAACTCAAGGTGATTCTTTATACAGGCCATCAGCCAATCAAGTGAGAACCTCTGCATAGAGCAGAAAGCTTGCTGTGATTGCATTCATGGTTTTATCCATTAGCATATCAAAACTGCTCTGATAAGTTTTTAAAATATTTTCTTCCTTTCCCCAATAACATGTAAAGTAAAATTTTAGCATTTGTTGGGCTTTTTAAAGCTTTTATTTCCAAATTCTATCTCTCCCTGCTGCTTCCCCGCCCTGAGATGGTAAGCAAGCTGATATAGATTATGCAAGTGCAATCAAGTAAAACATTTCCACATTATTCATTTTGTGCAAGAAGACTTGAAGAAAGAAAGAAAGGAAGGAAGGAAGAAAAAGAAAAAAGGAAAGAGGAAAGAAAGATGTAAAGACAAAAGAAAGTGAAAAATAGCATGTGTTTTCAGACAACATCAGTTCTTTCTCTGGAAGTAGATAGCATTTTTCATCTGATAAATTTTTGTAGTAAAATTGTGCCTAGTAAGTTTTTCAATTAAAATTTTTTCAATTGAAAATTATTTTCTTTCCCTCCTGCCCCCTCTCATTTGAAAAATAAAAAGAAAAAAGAAAACAAAACTTTTGTAACAAATATACAGAGTCAAAGAAAATGAATTCCTACACTGACTATGTCCAAAATGTATAACTAATTCATCTTGAGTCCATCACCTCTCTGTCAGAACGTGGGTATCATTCTTCATTAGAGTTGATCATTACCTTGATAAGAGTAATTGAGTCTTTCACAATTGTTCATTTTTACAATGTTGTTATAGTATAAATTGTTCTCCAGATTCTGCTCACTTTACTCTGCCTCAACTCATACAAGTCATCCTTTATTTCTTCAAAATTATTCTCTTCATAATTTCTTATGGGTACCACAATTTGTTCAGTCATTCCCCACTTGATAAGCACTCTCTTAGTTTCCAGTTCGAAAACAGCTACTATAAATATTTTTGGTACATACAGAATTTTTTTTTCTTTCTTTTATCTCTTTGGGCATACATGCCCAGCAGAGGTTTGAAGAAATTCAACTGTGGTTTTGCTTAAGACACATGAAGAAAAAATTTAAATCAGAGATATGGAGAAATGAAAAAAAAATCTCAGTTGCAGAGGATTAACAATATCAGTGGATTAGTGCTGCTTATTGCCCTTGGATTATAGGCTATTGATAGTTTCCCTAAGTTATTGATCCAGACGTGGAAAACTCCGGATATACCAATGTGGAAGTAGCAAAATCACTGGAAAAGCATCCATTATATTTTGTTATAAAATTGTTTTGTTTGATTTAAGAATGTACTTGTACATAGATATAGGAAATCACAGTGTAAGAATACACAGGGCTGCCATTCCAGTTAGGGTCCTCTTTCTCATTTTATTCTAGATGTTTCAAAAACAACAACAACAATGACAATAAAATTTCCACCAAGCACTTGGTATTGTGCAGTACTTTCTGCATCCCAAAACTGGTGTGGTTGCCATCCCGTAACTCCAGGACAGTAACTTTCTAGCACTTGGCACAGTGTAGGACATGTGGTTTTTACCCACCAGAGTCTCAGATCTTTGCCAGAATGTAGCATTCTTCTCCTGATGACAGTGATCCAAGTCATAATTCCATGTTAGTGTGCTGTATACTGCAGAGAGGAAATGTACCTTGAAGCAAAATCACTTCCTTTTCATACTTTTAGTGTTCCTTGTTTTATTGAAAGTGTTCCTGGTTTCTCTGTGTTGGGAAACTGAATTATTTGTTCATATGTACAATATTATATTAATCTATTATCTTAAAGCTTTTCTTTCTGAAATAATTCTACCATTCTTTGTGATTTCCTTTTCTAGGACCTTCTATCTCACTCCTACGTTATCCGCCATTTTAGAAATTTTCTTTTGAACTTACTTAAACCACCCCCTCCAAAAAAAAATCTTTAAAAAATATCCAAACTGATAAATAGTATAAGCCTTTGTATGGAAGTTGGGAAGTTAAATTTTCCAGAGACAAAAGTTCTGAATGAGATAATAAATGTAAAGCATTTTGTAACTTTAAAAGTTATCTACATTTTAGCTAATATTATTATTATTATTATATTCTATTGTTTAACATTTTTAAGCCAAAATTCCTAGACTTTAAATTGTATTTGTTAATTTTAACATGAGATATCATTCTCAGCCTAAGACATGATGAAGTCCTATAAACATCTTATTGTTCAGTCATGTCCAACTCTTCATGACCTCATTTGGGGTTTTCTTAGCAAAGTTACTGGAGTGGTTTGCCATTTCCTCCTCCAGCTCATTTTACAGCTGAGGAAACTGAGGCAGACAGGGTTCAGTGACTTGACCAGGGTCACCCAGCTGGTAAGTGTCTGAGGCCAGATTTGAACTCAGGAAGATGAGTCTCCTTGACTCCAGGCCCTGCACTCTATCTACTGTGCCACCGAACTTCCCCCTACAAGTACACAGCTGTTATAGACTTGCCTATGGTGTCCTTCTTATGTGCCACCACCTATTAATCTTTTCCTGGTGACATTTTCTTCATTGAATTATTTTTTTAAATTGCAAATCTCCCTGAAAAGTTATTGAATTCAAGTATGTTTAGTATTTTCAGGTAATTTAAACATTTCTCCTTGTCATATGCTGGGCTGCCTCATTTAATTTGGTTATTGGAATTCCTTACTTCTTTTCAGATTTCAACTAGTATAAGTACTGTAATTCTCTGACAGGTGAGGGAGGGAATTTTTCCATTTGTTATTGTGGTGTTGTTTTGGTGTAGATCTGTGATTTCACTAGTGTAGGGAATTCCCAATGTGAAAATTTCTTTTATTTATCCAGTTTAGCAGTTCCTCTGAAAATTTATAGTCATCCAATCAACAAGCATTTATCAGTTAGCCAATCACCAAGCATTTACTATGTGCTAAGCACCTACTATGTGGTGGTCATTGTTATATGTTTTTTGTTGTTTGTTGTTCAGTTGTGTCCAACTCTTCATGACCCCATTTGGGGTTTTCTTGGCAAAGATAATGGAGTAGTTTGCCATTTCTTTCTCCAGTTCATTTTACAGATGAGGAAACTGAGGCAAACAGGGTGAAGTGACTTGTCCAGGGTCACACAGCTAGTGAGTGTGTGAGGCTAGATTTGAACTCAAGATGAATCTTCCTGACCCCAGGCCTGGCCCTCTATTTACTGCACTCCCTAGCTGCCTGCTTTGTAGACTGTATTATAGCCATGCTGACTTTTGCCTGGGTCGCTGAAACATGAAATGATTTGTTGAGGAGTCCTATAATCAACATGCAGCAGCTAGATGGGGGTAGCGACTAGAGCGCTGAACCTGGAGTCAGGAAGACCTGAGTTCAAATCTTGCAGCTGTGTGACCCTACACAAATGACTTAACTTCTGTCTGCCTCAGCTTCCTCATCTGTAAGGTAGAAACAATAATAGTACCTACATCCCAGAGTTACTGTGGAACAAAATGAGAACAAAATGAGATAATATTTGTAAAGTCCTTAACAACCTTTGAGTGTTATGTCAATACTGTTATGAATATGTGCCAAATAAGGTAGTTTTCCTCACTCCAAGGCCAACATTTTATTCACTACACCATTATTATTCAAATATATTACCTCCACTGCAGATCATTTTTTTCTTCTATTCCAGCATCCCCTTTTCTTCTATTGAGATTTTTGCACACCAGTGTTAATTGTTTATGCTGGGATTTTAGTATAGATTGTAGGTGATGGAGTTTTAGAGCTAGACAGAATGTTCAAGATTTATCTAGTCCAACCCCATCATTTTTCAGATAAGGAAACTTATCTGTAGGGGTTAAGTGACTTGCTCAAGACCATATAGCAAATTAAGACAGTGCTTGGAAGTCAAATGCAGATCTCCTGTGTAGCTTTCAGTTCAGAGACATAGTGGAAACACTATATTATGCTGGTTCTCATTTGCTCCACATATCACACTGGTGATTTCTTTCTTAGCCATTCTTTGAGGTTGCTTCAAATACTTAATGCCTATAGACTATGCCGATATAATAAAATAGTTACCCAACAACTTTGTGTAATAAAAAACAGCACTGCATATAAACTAATAAAATTTATAACTGAAAGTATCTTTGTAGTGCTCATGCAAAAGGTCCAAGGAATTCCAAAAATCTGACAACTGTTCAACAAACTCAACGATTCAACAGCATTTATTAAATGCCTATTATATACGTAGTCTGGTGAATTGCTACTTCAGAATGTTGATGGATGGAGTAGAAGGATAGATGCATAAAATCCACAGGTAACAAATATACCTTAATTTAGTTATTAGTTGCATCCTCTTCCTCAGTGAACACTTCTTCACCCTTCCCTGCTCTTTCAGTCTTATGAAGGTATTAATGAGGATGGAAATGTCTAAATATCAAAAACAGGAGGAAGAAAGAAGTATCAATAAATTACTGAGTAATAGTCCTGGGGGGGAAATGAGACAAAACAATGGCCAGGAGCTACTTTTTAAACAGTCATATCCCTAGGGATTTTTCTATGGATCTGTGATTTCATTAATGTGGCTACAGCTGCCAATTACAAGCCATCCATGCCTTCTGATTCTGTGGAATTCTTGCCCATGTTTTTCCAAAA